TTTTGTTCATACTTTTGTCAGAACACTTATCAGATTGCACTGCAATTATTTGTTTTGTCTAAACCCTTATCTTCTTTCTCAAGCATTAGAAATCCTTGAGGAAAGGGTTATGTTTTCTTCATTTATTTATTCCCTGAATCTAGGACACAGGTGTTGAGTTGATAGCTGGTGACTTAGTGGAGCTCTCACTTGGCCAAATAAGAGATAATCTGAGCATCAAAATAAATAGATAGTAATGAATTGTAACCCCTTTAATAAAATAGGAAGCCATTAGTACATACTTATACAAATAAATGAATGAATAAGTTATTGAGGAACAAGGTATTTACATAGCTTCAAAGTATCATCCCACAAAATATTTAATGACTAAAAAGGGGAAATAATACATTTATAGTGGAGAGACCTGGCAGGCATCATCTTAATCAAGTTAACATTACCAGTAATGGGGCAAATTGAAATCGTGTATCACCTGATAACATGCAATGAGAACTCAGCAACACTTCTGTGATATTCCTACCAAATTTACATAACTTAAACCTAATCATAAGGAAGTTCCAGACAAACTCAAATTGGGAACATTCTATCAAATACTTGGCCTATAATCCTCAAAATTGTCAAAACCATAAAAGTCAAAGGAAGTCTAAGGAATTTCCTGTCGAAGGAGACTGAAGAGAGACATAACAATGAATACAGCATATGATTCTGAACTGTTCTTTTCTATAAAGGATGGTGCTGGGACAAGTGTAAATCTAGAGTGGGGTCTAAGGATTAGATGTGTCAACTTCCTAATTATGTCACTATCCTAAGTCAGATGTTTACATATTGTTATATAAGAGAATGTCCTTGTTTGTAAGAATTACACCCAAGTTATTCAGAAGTAACTTGTCATCAGGACAGCAACTTATTCTATAGCAGAACAGGAAAAAAACCTTTTTGTTCTATATTTACAACTTTTCTATAAATTTGAGATAATTTCAAAATTTTAAAAAATACAAACATTGGCATGTATGTGTGTATATATATTAATTAATACCTTTAGTATATTAAGATTATTTTTAAATTGGTAAGAACAAGTCGAGTATCCAAATACAAAATAAGCAAAAGATATCAATAGGATGTTTCCAAAAGAAGACACAGAAATAGCTAATAAATCTCACTAGTAATCAAAGAAATGTAAACAATAACCAAAGAATACCATTTTCAACTATCAGATATTTAAAATGATAATGCCCTGAGTTAAAGATGATATGGAGAAACACGTGTCACTCATATTAATTGTAAGAGTGTGCATTGTTAAAACAATTCTAAGAAAGGATATCTATAGTTAGAGTGT